TTGTATTCAACATAGTACTGGAAGTCCTAGCCACAGCATTCAGACAACAACAGCAATAAAAAGTAAAAGGTGTCCACATTGTAAGAAAGATGTAAAACTTTATTGCAGAACACATGATACTATATATATAGAAAACCTGAAAGACTCCGCCAAAAATCTGCTAGAACTGATAAATGAATTCAGTCACAGGATATAAAATCCATGTACAAATATCTGTTGCATTTGTATATAACAATAATGAAGTGGAAAATTAAGAAAAAGCATTCTATTTAAAATTGAACCCCAAATAATAAGAAACCTAGGAATAGGGAATCCCTGGGTGGCTCAGCAGTTTAGCGCCTGCCTTTGGGTGGCAGGGTGCAATTCTGGAGTCCCGGGATTGAGTCCCACGTCGGGCTCCCAGCATGGAGCCTGCTTCTCCCTCCTCCTGTGTCTCTGCCGTTCTGTCTGTCTCTCTCTATCTCTATCAAAAATAAATCTTAAAAAATATATACCTAGGAATAAAACTAACTAAAGTGGTAAAAGACTTAGACTCTAAAAACTATAAAACACTCAAAGGAAATTGAAGATGACGCAAGGAAATGGAAGATATTCCATACTCATGGATTGGAATAACAAATACTGTGACAATGTCTATACTACCCAAAGCAATCTACACATTTAATGCAATCCCTACCAAAACACCAACAGCACTTTTCACAGAGCTAGGACAAATAATCCTAAAATTTGTATAGAACCCAAAAGACCTCAACTATAGCCAAGGCAACCTTGAAAAAACAAAGCAAAGCTAGAGGCATTAGAATTCAGCACTCCAAGTTATATTACAAAGCTATAGTGATCAAAACAATATGGTTCTGGCACAAAAATGGACACATAGATCAATGGAACAGAATTTTAAAAATCTAGAAATGAACTCACAACTATATGATCAATCAATCTTAGACAAAGCAGGAAAGAATTTCCAATTGAAAAAAAAGTCTCTTCAACAAATGATTCTGGGGAAACTGGACAGTAACATGCAAAAGAATGAAACTGGACCAGTTTCTTAAACCATACACAAAAATAAATTCAAAATGGATTAAAAACTTAATTGTGAGACATGAAACCATAAAAATCCTAGAAGAGAATACAGGGAGTAAATTCTTTGGCCAGAGCAACTTTTTCTAGATATATCTCTTTAGGCAAGGGAAACTAAATAAATAAATAAATAAATAAATAAATAAATAAATAAATAAACAAACAAACAAACAAACGAACTATTATTGGGACTACATCAAAATAGAAATCTTTTGCGCAGTAAAGGAAACAATCAAGAAAACCAAAAGGCAACCTACAGAATGAGAGAAGATATTTGTGACATATCTGATAAAGGGTTAGTATACAAAATCTATAAAGAACTTACACAACTCAACACTCGAAAAATGAATAATCCAATTGAAAAATGGACAGAAGACATGAATAAACATTTTTCCGAAGAAGACATACAGATAGCCAATGGACGGATTAAAAGATGCTCTTTACAGATCATCAGGGATATGCCAATCAAAAACTACAATGAGGTATCACCACATCACACCTGTCAGAATGGGTAAAATCAGTAACACAAGAAACAACAGGTGTTGACAAGGATGTGGAAAAAGGGGACCCCTCTTGCACTGGTGGTGGGAATGCAAACTGGTGTAGCCACTGTGAAAAATAGTATGAAGATTCCTCTAAAGTTAAAAATAGAATGATCCTATGATCCAATAATTGCAGTCCTGGGTATTTACCCAAAGGATACAAAAACACTAATTTGAAGCACCTGATATTTATAGCAGCATTACCTACAATAACAAAATTATGGAAATAGCCCAAGTGTCCATCAACTGATGAATAGAGAAAAAAGAGCGGTGTGTGGTATTCCACACACTGGAATATTATTCGCCTTTAAAAAAGAAGGAAATCTTGCCATTTGCAACAATATGGATGGAGCTAGAGAGTATAATGCTAAGTGAGATAGTGAGAGATAAATACCATATCATTTCACTGAAATGTGGAAGAAACAAAACAAGCAATGGGAAAAAAATAAGAGAGACAAATCAAGAAACAAACTCAACTGTAGAGAACAAACTGATGTTTATCAGAAGGGAGAGGGTTGGGGGAATGGACTGACTAGGTGATAAGGATTAAGGAAAAGAAAAAATATAAACATATGTTTTTATATATTAAATAAATATTATACATAGGTACTTTAATAAGCATAAATAATCTATATGGTGGACTATGTGAATTCTTAGGAGTATTCGAACATTAAATTTTAACCTATTCACAAACTATAAATGAAACAAATTATTCCACTTTGTCTCTAGGACTTCAGTTTGGTATTTCACCTTGCTTCTCATTTAATAACTATAAACATGATATATTTTGCAATGCTGAGATTTAAAGATTCCATAGATATGTAATTCCCTAAACTTATGTAGTTCACTAAAAAATGAGATTTTTTTCCCCCTAAACCCTTTCAAAGATTGCTATATTTTTGGTGCTATAAAGAGCATTAGAATAATTATTAGTTATATATTTTATGCAATTAATTGCATATAAAGGCCTAGATATCACCATTATAATCCCTGTTATAGCCATTATTAATTTTTTAAATATAATTTATGAAGATCACTTTGGATACTCACAATTATTTTTTAAACTTTTAATTGTCATTTAAATGTTTCATCCATTATTTGATTATGCTCTAATTTCATATGCTTAAACTTAGTAAGGATTTTCTTTTCTTTTTTTTTTTTTTTTTTTTTTTGGTTTTGGCCAAACTTTTTATTTAGTATTCTGTAGTTGCTTAAACACACACTTAAATGGTCTTATTGGAGGAGGTTCTTGTAGATTCCCAAGGAAATGTCAGAAAGGCAAAATATGGCCAGAATTATCCATTTGCTTTTTTTTGGATTTACTGGGTGAATAGCACTTTCCTTACATAAGCATCTGATCTCAGGATCTCAGGTTTTTCATTACTGAGAACATTGAGATTTCCATTTGAAGACACTCTGGAATCCTAAGAGTAGCATACCCCGACCACCCTCTAGTAGCTAGCTTGTTTGTATAGGCAGAAGGATTCACCTCTCCATTTTAGAAGGCTAGATGTTTGTAGAAGGTCTTGGAATTGCTTTGCCTCATTTACTGGGAAAAATCAGATATAGGAAGTGGCCTTTAGGGACACTTTTAACTTGAAAAATTACAACACTAGTACACAAGTCAAGTCTTAACACATTTAACATTTGCTTATTGAAAGCAATGTCATAAAGTCAAATAAGATTAAACAGGTTTTACTTTTTTCCCTCACAAGAACATAAAAATTATGGAAGGGGAGCTTAACAGGAAATTTTAAAAAGGTAACACAATGTTCCCTTTCAGTGGTCCTTGGGTAGTTATGACAGAAAAGGTTCCGCTTTTTTGTTTGTTTCTTTGAACAGGGATTTTGGTCCAAAGTTTTGTTTTGTTTGTAATATCTGCTTCTGCCTCCCCCTCTATCAGATTGGCTTCCTCCAAGGCCACCACCTCTTGGTGCCTGATACTTGAACTGCTGTAGGAATCACGTGGAGGAGGGTACCCCTTTTTAGAAGCGGGAAGCCCTCTTTCCTGTCTGCCAACCCGATCGCAACCACTTGAGTAGAGATCACTCCGGCTGCTTGGGTAACTGTCTCGATTTCCACCAAATCTGTCATGTGAGCTACTGTAATCATCATAGCGACTGCTTCCACCGTAAGATGGCACGGGCCCTCGTGTAGGTGGAGCACTACGTGAGTTACCATAACTCACATATGAATCTCTGTAGGAACCTCCACTTGGATGATCTGAATAGTCGCGATCACGACCATAGCCATCTCTATCACTATAGCCTCTTGATGAGTAGTCACCAGGTGAACTGGAATGACCATAATCACGGTTAGTGTAATCTCTTGGTGGTGGTGCATAATCTCTTGTATCATGAGAATTTGGGTAATCTCTGCTTGAATAGCCGTTTTTAGTAGAATATCCATCATCCCTTGGGGACAAATACACATCTCTACGAGAGGGCAGGGGTTCCCTTCGAGGTGGGCCTCCATCACTATCTCTTCCGTGTGACACAGGAGCTCTTCCTCCCATTCTACTGCTGCTGCGAACTGGTCCTGAAGGGGCAGATCTTTCAGGAGGAGGACCACCACTTCGTGGTGGTGGTCTTCTTTTTACTAGAAGTGGTCCCCTGGAAAAACTCATGTTAAAACTCATGGAATAGCCACCATCATCCATGTGCCCTCCACGCAAGGGAGGTCCCCTGGTTCCTCCATTTGCTCCTCTTCCACGTCTAAGACCTCTTGGAGAGCCTCTGCTTCTTGGAGGTGGAGGTGGTCCATGCCTACCATTTTCAAAGGATGGTTTAGTGGCTTGTCTACCGTGATGGCTTTTCCATATAAGGACTTTCCATTCATCTCTCTGGCTGGATCCATAGTATCTATCTGCTGGGCTCTCAAAGGTGACAAAAGGAAATCCTCTTGATTTGTTGGTTTCATGATCTTTCATCAATAGAACTTCTACTATTTGTCCTTATTTGCCAAATAGTGCTTCAAGGGCTCTTTCATTTGTTTCTGTATTGAGGCCACCAATGAAAAGCCTTCCTGGGCGATCTGCTTCAACCATTTTTCCCCCTGGTGAGAGTCGGAGGGGTGACGACCGTTCCAAGCTCCTATGAGCTCACAGGCAGGGGCTTCGTAGCAGCTCAGCATGGGGGTGTGGGTGCGCCGGGTCCGAGAACAGAAGAGGGAAGCTGCTAGTACTACTGCACAACCGGATTTTTTTCTTTATAACTTTACAGGTATGATCGTTCGTCACTTTGAAGAATATTTAACTCTTTTAAAATTGCACTTTGGGGTTATATTATCTGAAAAAAAAACTATCAATAAAAGTAGTAAATTCTCTTAAAGAAAACAAAGTATAGAATATTGACGGAGGATGGGAATTTCAAGTCCACTCAAATGTCAAGAATTTTAGATTTCACACCTAAATCCAGTTTGGGGGAATTATGATTCATTGCTTTATGGGAGTCTGGCAAGATACACAGAAATCTCCCTCTCAGTTTAGGGGGATTGTCCTATGAATAGGGCTTACTCTCAGAGAGGACAATTTACAACTTAAAAAAAAATCATTGACTTTAGAAAAATCTTATTTCTGGGGGGAAAAAAGTCAAATAGCTTCGAAGTGTGTATGTGTGTGCATGCATGTGTTTTAAATGTAATGCTGATGAGCCAAAAAGCGAATTTATCATAAATATTATGAGTTTTTCAGAAAATACATTTTAAATATTTTCATATTTAGGTTTTAAGCAATTCTCTTGTCTATTCTATTTAATCAACTATTTTTCCATATATTCTCTTATATGTTCATGTATTAAATCTTAACATTTGTTTATATAATTTTGTGTCATGGAAACTGTCCTAACCACTCTGGAAGTCAGAGAAAGTTTTCAAATTAAAGGATAAAAGTTAGAGTAGGAACACTATTTTATGAAAGTATAATTAACTTGGATTTTGCTTTTTAGTTTTAGGAGTTACTTTTTTCACCCCTCTTTGTATATAAAAAAGTGAGTTCAAGTTTTCAGATTCTTCATCCTGTTGGAACTTGATTAGAACTTTATATGGTTCCTAAGGTGAAAGGGATGATTTGAGTCTTTTTTCTTCATTGCCTTCTCTTAGTGAGAGCTCCAGATCATATGTATAATTGCTTTTTACAAGACACACAGCAAAAACACAGCTAATAACCTCAGAAATCTACAGTCTCCCTCATTATTCAGATCAAAGATTGACAAGCAGACAGATCCTATATTGAAAGCTGTAAATTAAAAAAAATAAGGAAAGCTATAAATAACAAAACCTACTATTTTTTCTTCCAAATTTATTATGCTTACTACATTATCTGCATACACTTAATATAGCTTAAAATGATAGTCTTATGAAAATCAAAAGTTTAAAAAACTTTTTTGTAGTATATACTTTTTGGGATAGTTAAGAACATACAATTTATTTATTAATAATTTTTAGTAAAATGTTATATATATGTTTAGTATTTTTCTTAATCTGCTGAGGGTACCATATCATAGACTGGGTGGCTTAAAAAACAGGAATTTATTTTTCACAATTGCAGAGGCTGGAAAGTCCAAGCAAGATAGGTTTTATTCTGAGGCCTGTCCTCTTAGCTTACAGGTGGCCACCATCTCACTGTGGACTCCCATGAGCTCTTCCTTATCTACTGAAAGAGAGTGAGCACTCTGGTCTCTCTTCCTTATAAGGAAATGAATTCTATTGGATTAAGGTTAAATGAGGTCATAAGTAGAAGCCCTAACTACTTCTTCTAAAGGCTCCCTCTTAGGGCACCTAGGTGGCTCAGTCAGTTAAGGATCTGTCTTCAGCTCAGGTCATGGTCCTGGGGTCTTGGGATTGAGCCCCATGTCAGGCTCCCTGTTCTTCGGGAAGCCTGCTTCTCCCTCTCCCTCTGCCTGCTGCTCTCCCTGCTTGTGCTCTCTGTCAAATAATAAATAAAATCTCAAAAAAAATAATAATATAGGCTCCATCTCCATATACAGCCACACTGAAAGGTTAGGGCTTCAGCATATGAATTTGAGGCAGACACAAACATTCAATCTATAAAAGTATTTTCTAGGTATTTTGTATTCTAATATTCATTAATTAAAAGAGAAATTTGTTTTGCTTGGATACTATTGAGCAGGTTATAAGAGAGTGCTTTGCAGAAAAGTACTGTTTACACAAATCTGTGGAGAATTCTCATGTACACATTTAAGAGCAGCAAAACTTTTCCCTGGTAATTCAAAATTTCTAGATTCAAGGGTTTACCCTGAAAAATGTTAAATATGAAAAATTAAACATGTAATTTTAGACATGACAAGTCATTGAACATGAGACATTTGAATGACAGGAAAAGAATTCTTTGTAGAAACTGTGTTTCAACATTAAGGCATAAAGATACAATAATAAAGACTCTAGCCTTGGCTCCTCTCTCCCTCCACCCTATTTTTACACTCATTGTTCCCTCCCCACATTTCTATTCTGAATTTGAATAAAGTTCAGGCTGGAGTATTAGATTTGCAGTGAAGGCAAGAGTATTAGTTAAGGTTCAACCAGAGGAGACCAGTGGGAGATAATATCTTTAAACAGATATATGCCTTTTTGTTTATGTATTTGTAGGGACTGGCTACACACTGGAGGGAGCCTATTGGGCAAGAAGTCAGGGAAAGAAGGTCATGAGCCAGCTGGAGCTCCAGGGGCAGGAGTAGAGGCTTATGACCATAAGTGGGAGGCTCTCTAACTCATAGAACACCTGAGCATATTTTAAGGATTTCCAAAGATTGATTCAGACCCATACAAAATAATCTCCTGTTCAATCAATTTAATTGATTAGCAGCTTTAATCAAATCTGCAAAATTCTTTCACAGAAGAATCTAGATTAGTGTTTGATTGAATAACCAAGTGCTGCTATATGTATGCTCCAAAATGGTTTTAACTCCTGACTCTTCCACTGATAGGCATGTAACCTTAAGCTGATATTAAACACTGACTTTTAATTTCTACATCTGTGAAATGAGAATAAGATCTATATCACAGAATTTCTGTGAGGATTAAAAACTTATAAGTGATAGTTATTGCTAATAAATCATAATTTTAAAATAAATTTGATATATGTTAATGAATTTCTCATTGTTATCCTGAAAAATATAATTCTTAATATATACTCTTTCCTGCTGAAAATAGGAAAAGATAGCAATTGTATAGCAATAAAATATTAATCAACAGCAATAAAAGTTGATAAATTGCCAAAAGAAATACTTTAAAAAGCATATGGGGCACTTGGATGGCACAAATGGTTAAGCATTCGACTTTTGGTTTCATCTCAGAGTCGTGATCTCAGGGTTGTGAGACTGAGCCCCAATTTGGGTTCTGTGCTCAGCTTAGAGTCTGCTTAAGACTCTGTCAAAATCAAAAGACAAGCTACAGAATGGGAGAAGATATTTGAAAATGATATACCAGATAAAGAGCTAGTACCCAAAATCTATAAGGAACTTACCAAACTCAACACCCAAAGAACAAATAACCCAATCAAGAAATGGGCAGAAGACATGAATAGACATGTCTCCAAAGAAGACATGCAAATGGCCAACACATTTCAATGTGTTTCAATGACACATGAAAAAGTGCTCAACATCACTTGGCATCAGGGAAATACAACTAAAAACTATAGTGAGATACTACGTTACCCCAGTCAGATTGGCTAAAATTAACCAAGTCAGGAAATGACAGACGTTGGAGAGGATAGAGAGAAAGGGGAATGCTGTTGGTGGGAATGCAAGTTGGTGCAGCCACTCTGGAAAACAGTACAGAAGTTCCTCAAAAAGTTGAAAATAGAGCTAACCTATGACCCAGAAATTGCCCTACTGGGTATTTACCCCAAAGATAAACAAATGTAGTGATCCTAAGGGGCACCTGCACCCCAATGTTTAGAGTAGCAATGTCCACTATGGCTAAACTATGGAAAGAGCCCAGATATCCATTGACAGATGAATGGACAAAGAAGTGATACACACACACACATGCACACACACACACACACACACACTGGAATACTCCTCAGCCATCCAAGAAAAAAAAAAAAAGAAATATTTCCATTTGCAACAACATGGTTGGAACTAGAGGATATTATGCTAAAGAAAATAAATCAATCAGAGAAAGACAATTACCATTGATCTCACTCATATGTGGAATTTAAGAAGCAAAACAGGATCAGAGGGGAAGAGGGGAAAAAATAAAAGACTATAAAATCAGAGACAAACCATAAGAGACTGTTAATCATAGGAAAGAAACTGAGGGTCGCTGGAGGGAGGGGGACAGCATAATTGGGTGATGAACATTAAGGAGGGCATGTGATGTAATGAGCACTGGGTATTATATAAGACCAATGAATCAAGCACCTCTGCCTCTGAAACCAGTAATACATTACATGTTAATTGAATTTAAATAAAATTTTTTAAAAAACACCCTTTCTCTTCCTCTCCCTCAGCCCTTCCCCACCATGCATGTGCTCACTTGTGCACTCTTGCTCTCTCCCCTAAGATAAATAAATAAATCTTTAAAAAGGATTATATATATAACATTATAAAAGCATTATATGTATTATATATTTTTAAAGCATTATATTATATATATAATATACAGAACTAGAACACTGGAGAAACTATTTAAGTATCTAAAACACATTCACAGCAAATAATTTTTAATTCCTAAAACTGGAGTTCAGATTTTTAGCAATGCAATGTGATGTTAACTATAAATAGTATGGTTTGCTTTATAAATAATATATTCAGGGATCTCTGGGTGGCGCAGCGGTTTGGCGCCTGCCTTTGGCCCAGGGCGCGATCCTGGAGACCCGGAATCGAATCCCACGTCAGGCTCCCGGTACATGGAGCCTGCTTCTCCCTCTGCCTACGTCTCTGCCTCTCTCTCTCTGTATGACTATCATAAATAAATAAAAAAAAAATTAAAATAAATAAATAAATAAATAATATATTCAAAAGATTTCAAGTATACCCTATCTCTTTGATGCTTTTCTTTTCTAATATATTTGCTAATATAACATTGCCACTTTGCATTCAAGAAAAGGAGTAAGAGAAACAATAGATTTGATATAATGGAAATCAGAGTTTCAATTAAAATCTTTACCCCCAGGTTTTCCCAGGAAGACAGTAGCTAAGGAACCAGCTATCTCTAGAACCCTTCCCCCAGCTTCCTTTCCAACATACAAACATGCACATAGTTTTATTAATACTACAGTAGTTTTAAAATACTACATCTGATGCCTTGCCTCAAACACAGAAATACCAACAGTCATATTTCAAAACTGTCAAAGTCTATCTTATTATAAGATAAAAGAAACAGTATAGCAGGGACATGAGACAATGGTTGCTTGGTTTTCAGAACTGAGACAACTTTCAGGTTTGAAACCTACCTACTGACTGGGTCCAGGAGAGCCAAAGGAGGAGGAACCCTGTAACAGCATGGAAGAGTATACTGTGGCTTGTCCTTTAGTTCTTTCCCAAAGGTACCTCTGGTTATTCGCTCA